GCGAAAGATCCCTCTGGCATCTGACTGGGGAAGTGTGTAGATAGGTGAGAGTGGGACAGAGGTCCCAGTTAGACAGAAGTTGTGCTAACAGCTCCACCAGAAAGAATGACTGGACCAGTGTTTCAGGAGGAGGTGGGAGCTGTCAGATAAGACTTGGTGGTGGTTGGGTTTATGTAAGCAAGACTCCAAAAGAGTTGCTATAAATCATTCAAAAGAAAGGCCTCAAGCCACTACCAAAGAGAGAGAGAGAGAATTCCCAATTTACCCTTCAGCACTGTACGACTTTATACCCTGGTTCTTTCTGCTCCCTTCCAGAGGAGCGCTCCTCCCATTCACCTGGCCCGTCAGCCTCTCGACTGCTCCCATTGTGGGCACATCCCACAGCCACACCTCAGCTCCCTGAGCAGTCCTCACTTCACCTTCCCTATCTCAGCTTTTACTGCTAGTACAGAGCCTGCACTGTCAGGGGTGCCAGGCTCTCCGGGTCTCCTGAGTGTGATCAGTTACTGTCTGCCTTCAGGCCTCCACCATCCTATTTTTACTGCCAGCAACAGGCTCACATTATCTCACCCTTCAAGAATTCATTTTCATCTTCAAGAAATTTTTATCATTTGATGAATTTCCTTCCTCCTCTATTATATAAGGTCTGTGAGTGTTGAAGAGATTAATGCAAAAGGTGGAAGTCTAAGGGACCTTGAGAGTGAATGATATTAAGTATAAAAAATAACTAAAGTAGAAACAGTAACACCGCTATGTGTTTAACCACATTTACACCCACGTTACCAGCTTGTATATTCCAGACACTCGGAACAGACAACCAAGATGCAGGAGAGCGTGGCTAGCTCCAGGAGACAGTTCGGGTGGCTGGGGACAGCGTAGGTGTGGAAGAGTTGAGCATAAACTCTTGCACTTCCAATTTTTGTGCATTTTGTGAGTGTATGGCCTATTCAAGAAATACACTGATACTGTTTTTCAATTTAAATAAATCAAGATATATGCTAAATCTATTAGAAAATAACACACCATTAAGAGTCCAACTGTTACTGTTGGTGTTTTGCTAGTATTTTCAGATATGCAGGATAATAAAGAAACTACCAGGTTTTATTGCAGATTTTAAAGAAAACTTGTTTCTGATACTTACCTATTTATCTCTCCCCACAGACAAACCACCTGTCCTTTATTCTATAAAATGTTACATAGGTGGATGCCTCATTTTACCAAACACCAGATCCCTGGAGGTGAAAGCGATCATCGCCTTCTCTCTCCTGTTCAGGTAAGACATAGCAAAAAGCTATGTCCTAAATTCAATTTAAGGTCTGGGCAACAACAAATGTTGGTGAAGATGCAATGACAAAGGAACACTCCTACATTCCTGGTGGGAATGCAAACCAGCACAACCACTATGGAAAGCCATGTGAAGATGTCTCAGATTACTAAAAATGGAGCTACCATACGACCCAGCAATTCCACTCCTAGGGATCTATCTAAAGGACACAAAAACATTAATTCAAAAGGAAGCATGCACACCTATGTTTACTGCAGCACCATTCACAATAGGTAAATCCTGAAACAACCAAATGCCCAAAACTAGATGAGTGGCTCAAGAAGATGTGGTATGTATATACAATGGAATACTACTCAGCAATCAAAAAGATAAACTCACACCATTCATAGCAACATAGGTGGAGCTGGAAGGGATTATGCTCAGTGAAATAAGCCAGAGGGAAAAAGAAAAATATTGAATGGTTTCATTTATAGGAGGAACTTCAGAGAACCAAATAAGACATGGGTGGGGGGGAGGAGTATATTGTTAGTACAATACAAAACACAACACCACAAAGCAAAAACAGACAATTGTAAACCAGAGAGAGCCTCCAGGGGAGTGGACAGAGGGAAATCAGAAGGAGTGAGGATGTGAGGGACTGTGGTGATAATGGTGGGGGAGGGGTGGAGTAAACATTGTTGTAAAATGAAAAATAATGTAAGTAGTACATAAAGAAAAAACACAAAAATGAGGAAAAAAAATAAATGTAAGGTCTGGGGAAATGAATAACCCCGTAGAACTGAGTTCCTATGGGGAAGTGGAGCCCAGCGCGCAGAGGTGGATGGAGGCGCCGGCACAGAAGAGGGCTCACCTGGGCCTGCATGTCACACAGGTGGGTCATGAGCTCATCCAGCTGAGCCGCCGCTGACTTCTTCGGGGGCGTGGCTGATCTCTGGGGCGCTCTGATCACACTACAGGAGAAAAGGAAAAATCACAAACACGTCAAACTCAAATAAATAGGAAACCACTTGTAAACTATCAGGAAGGGCAGATATAACTATTCATCTCTTAAATGTAAAATCAGAGACAGGATCATTTTAAAAGCAAGTGCTAGATTAAAAAGTCATTACACCGTCTCCCTGATTTTTGCCTTTGTCTCCTTCTGGTCACCTCAAAACTGATGACTCAAGCACAGGAAGCAAATTGCTGGACAGGTAGCTGCAGGTCACTCTCCCCCACAACCACAAGTGGCTTCCGCAAAGAGCTTTAAGGCCAGGCGCTTGTATTTTTTTAATTTTCCGAATGTTCTTTTTAAATGATGAAGTACTATATCTTGCTAACAGTTAGGCAAAAGGCAAAAAATTTATAAGAATATAGAACAGACATAAACAAACTAAAACTGAGTCAGTGTCGATCACGCCCTTTCATTCACACACTGAACCCACTGTCTCCCTACGAGCTGAATAGCAGTGACAGAGACCTTGGAACAAGAGGCCTAGAAGGCTCAGGGCCTGCCCTTTATAGAATAAGTTTATGAGCCCTGGTGGAGTTTAGATAATGTCTATGATGTTGGCTTCGTGTCAGTATGATTGTGAATAAATTACTGACCAAGACAATTTTAGGTTGAACAAACAGAACATAAATTCCATCAAATGCTTGCATGATCCTTAGTAAAATGAACCATGTCTGAGGATAGAAAACAAAGTTCAACAAATGCTGACTCAGGTCATAAAGACCATATTCTTAGATGTCAGTGTATGAAAGTACAAATTAACCCAAAGAAAAAATCTATCCACTTATGAAAACATGAAACATTCATAACTCGTGGGATGAAGAAAAATATCTGAATTTTTAAGCTATTTAAAAATAGCAATAAGAGCAGGAACACACCCCTCCCCACCACACACACACACCAGAGTTGAGGTTAAAATGTCACCGAAAGCAGACTGTATTATTAGACAAATGCAACATCAAAAGAAGAAGAAGAAGAAAGACCAGAACAAACCAACTGACGCAAGAGGTTTTATTTTTAAAACAAGCAAATCCAAAAAACTAAGCTAAAATAATCAGAGGAGAGATAGCATAAATTAGTGAAACAGAAAACAAAACCAAAAAACTGCCAGTGTTTTGGAAGCATTGTGTACATCTGTGTGTCTCTCACACACACAAACACACAGTGCTATAACCTATAGCCATTGTAAATATTTCTAAGTATTTCCAACATATTTTAAGTATTTCACAAACATTACTATAATGAAAACGCAGACTATTTTACTTATTTTTATGTACTGATCACCAGAGGGGGGATAAATAGGAAGAAAACGAGTCTCTCCCTCTTTAAAAACAAATCATTCCCACTGCAGACGGACTTACTCTTGAGTACTTAACAAGAAGTGAAATTCAGAGGAAAGTGGCTTCCTTCACCTCTTAAGATAAAAGCCCTTGTTCTTTACTCCACTTGGGCTACACTGCAGGGACCCAGTTTCATTTCCCCACGGTGTAGACACAGCTAGACACCAGCCTCGCAGTATTTCTTGAAAGCTCTTCTTTCCCGAATCTGCAATGCCGCGATGTTAGATATCATTTCATTTGTCTTTGCTCTCTTTCCAGACGTCTTGCCCTTCCATGAATCTCTTTTATCTATTCTTTTGTAAATGCCACACTCTCTGAATGACCATTCTCAGTCAGTCTTAATATCTAGAAGATGTCCCGTTTTGAGTTTTTCTTCCAGAGTGACTGGCCTGCTCTTTGCCCTTTGCTCTTTAATTGGAAGGATTCTAATGAATCTTTCATTTTAGGATCAGCTGTCACTGTCTAGAAAACAAACCCGCACAATAAGAAATTCAGTGAGATGTGGAATTGTGTTGAATTTGAAGTAAAAATAGCAGCTTCCTGTTCTGAGTCTCTGTCCACTTACAAGACATATGTCAAGGCATGTCAATAAAGATATCATTTTTCCCACAAAAAAGGAAAGAAGACCTTGTCTTAGGAGCCTCCTGCCAGATAAGAGATTCTTTTTTTTTAATCTGGGAACAAAAATTGTGAGGTACACAAGTGATGGATAATTCAACCCTTGGTGATTTCCCTCCCTTGACTCTATGCTCTTTGGTCTTTTTATTCATAGTCCCTTGGTGACTGTCCCCAGAGACATGTTCCTTGGACACACAAAAGGCAGCAAGATGCGGAGCACATTCTTATGCCTTCTGTCCCACTGTAGAGTAGATCTAGCTTAGCGCTAGTTTCTTCTAGGGGCCACTATAATCCTGAAAACCTGCTTCTTTCATAGCCAGGACACATGGGTGCTTCTTCTTTTTTTTTTCTTTATTTTATTTTTGCATAGAAGAACTGTGGTGTAGGCCAGAGGTATAGAGAGCAAGAGGTTTCACCAGAGACAGAGTGGGAAGCAGAACAGGCAGGTCCACTGAAACACACTGCTGAGGGGAGCAGCGGGGAGACAGGAGAGGTCTGCTGTGCCCTGCGGGTCAGCTCCCTGGCCGGAAATGGAATTAGGGCTGTAGCGGTGATGCAGCCCACTAGTTTTTAATGCTCTTAGTGCAATGTACAGAGAGAAAGTAGGTCATTGTCATGATGTCCTAATAGTCCTTGAGTCAACAACAGGATATTCTAAATAAAAAATGAAAACCTGGGAGAGTTGGTGATGACATCACCTTAAGAAACGTTCCTGGAAAGAGAAGAACTCAAGTCAGAGTTTCTTTGACTTGTCCCCAGCTTCTTAAAGATGGTGATGGCCCTTTGCCATCAGCCACAACTTCCTGCATGCCTCAGAAATGGTCAGAAAGCACATCCCAGGTGTGTTAACGACATGTCAGTCATCTCAAGTGAAGGGCTATACGGGCTGGGATTTTATCCCCATTCATTTCTGGGTGATGTTCTTAATGAATTGTTTCTCCATTTTTTTTACCATGTAAGAATACTTTTCAAAATAGCTGTTGATGCTGCTCTTGACATAGAGCTACATTAGAAATATTGCTGTGGGACATATGTTCAAGGTTGAAAGCCATGTTCTGTTCTTGTAAACAGGCCTGAGTCAGAAACAGAAAGCAGGAATTGAGCTTCCGAGTCTCAGCGCTGTGTGTGAGCCCCATCAGCTCTGTCAGACCAGCCTCTGGGACTTGTATCCGTCTGTTACATGCTACTGGGTCACCTGGAGTCCTGTCCCTCTCCCACACAGCAAGTACCTCAGCAGCAGGCTGTGTCCATTAAGGCCCACTCAGGAAGCACTAGGTGTAAACAGAAGGGATTCCATCCAGAAATTTGATGCCAGAGCTAAGAAGTGAAACGGAGCGGAGACGTAACCGGAACCCAGAGCTGAGGCACAGGAGGAAGCCATGAAGCCAAAAGGACAAAGAAATGAGGCAAAGTCACCAGAGGCCTGGGACCTAAGTAGACAGGTGCAGGCGGGAGCCACAGACACCTGTGCTGCAGCCGCCGAAGCCGTTGACGTGTAACTGTGGACAGAGGCATTGTGGGGAGACAGGGCTGGCGAGAGGAAGCCCTGAATTTCCTCTTCACCGCCCCCGCCCCACAACAGGCTCTCCACAGTATCTCCCAATGACTAGAAGCTGCAAGAGCCAACTGAACTTGGCTCCTGAAAACCCAACCTCCAGAGGTCACTCCCTTGGAATCTCCAGCAAGGCCAACGAAGGTGGGCTGACTCTGAAGGGAGACAGGCCAGAGGCGCATGGTGCAGAGAAGGGGTGTCAGTACATTGGTGATGGTGCCCCCTAACTGATTGCAATGCCAGGGATATAGGTCCATAGAAACATGGCCACTGGTTACGCTAGTTTCCATATTATATGCTTCTGTATTCCCTGGGAAGTCCATTAAAGTCTTGGTTTCCTGGATTTCAAAATTCATTTAGCAAGTCTTCTGTGCCCCTGACACTCTTAGTTACTACTGATAGTGTTTTGGTTTTTTCCACTTTTTCATGGTGATGAGGGGACAGGGAGGTCTAGGTACCTCTCTGGAACTGGAGTGAACTGGCAATAAGCATTGATATACGTTGTCCTCAGGCCAGGGAAATAGAGAGTGTCCTCAAGTGGGAAATTATTTTTTTAAAGATGTATTTATTTATTATTTATTCATACAGAACTGGGGTACAAGCCAGAGGTGCAGGGAAGGTGAGGGGCTTCACCAGAGACAAAGAAGGGGGACGGAACAGGCAGATTGACAAAATACACTGCTGAGGGGAGCGGCCCTCGGGTCAGGA